GCTAATTTACGTTCAATTCGTCTCAGACAATGGTCCACCATACTAATAATGAAACAAGAATTCAGTTCCAGAGACAATGGTCCACCATACACAATAATGGTTGACCATATTAATTTTTTAATTTGTTAATAATTTAGTCTCACTACTTTCATTTTTGCACCCATTAGTAGAGCAAACTCTTCACTATCCTAAATGGGACACAAATAGTACAACCTGAATAACATGGGGCAAAATCTATATGTCTTGGCTTGTTTGGGATTGCTCCACTTCATCAAAATTAGCTCTGCTCCACTATAAAACAGCTCCACAAAATACTAGTTTTTGGAGTACCCCTTTAGGTGCTCCATAAAACACCTAGAGTTGGCCTTCAACTTCACCTTTTTCTAGAGCAAAGTTTGTAGAGATGTCCCTGTTTGGCAAGCGAAGTTGGAGCATAGCTGAAAAAGACAGAGTGGAGTAGTCCCAAACATGCCCTTAATGGGGTCATTATGCCCCAGTCTAGCACAATAAGTTCAAGGTTGGACCTCGCATGCATTTCATTGTCTTTAATCTTTCTAATAACATTAAGGTTGATTTCATGGATTTTGCTACGAGATAGACTTGGGCCTAGCTATGCGTCTGACAAGAGTCTCCAACCAATACTATACAATAGTATGATGACAATCTATACACAATTATTTTCTTATAATGTTCTAATTGAAAGTTGTAGATCACAATTTTTAACACAAGGCTCTAACAAATGCACCTAGTTAATCAAGCATAAAAGACAAATCAGTAGCATTTAAATACTTTGCACTTCTATCATCCAATTATAAGCAACCTTTTTATTTCATGGGGTCCTCAAAAGAGCACCCCTAACAATCAAAACAATCAAAATCAAACCCTTCTCTTCACACAACAATTAGTGATAGAATGCACTTCATCAAAACTAGTTGATGCCTCCTTCAAAAATGACAAGTCCACTCTAAAAACAACATATAGTTACTTTGCTCGTATGTCATCAAATCACAGTTACCTTTTTCTTTTACAGAATCCTGAGCACGGGTAACAATCAAAATCAATGACCTACCTTTAGAAAATCACCCATAAGAGTAAATCCACCTCATATCAAATCTTACAGCATTATAAAAGGCAATCTAAACCATGTGGTGAATCCAAACCACATGGTGAATGTTCTCACAATTCTAATGTCAATATCATGCATGTCGATGACACCTTTCTTTGCTTTCAGTCCTCACATAAAAGCATCATAACATTTAAAATGGAACACACTCTCATGCTCCTTTTATACAATCCAATAGGTTCATCACCTCCTTTGGTAAAAAAGACAAGTTTGTCCTATTATGGCATTTGTGTACTTCACGTATCTCTTATCTGATTAAAAACAAAGTTTTCCTTCCATAGAAGCATCACAAAGAGCACCCCTAACAACCAAAATCAATTGCCTTAATATAACTAATCAAGATGGTAAACATACATATCATTTTCACACATCTACATGTGTCAATAACATGTGATTGTCATATCTCTAAGAACTCATCATGCAAAGAACCATCACTACCTAGCTAATGTGTTCTTTTCTATTCTTTCACCATCATTATCACAAACAATAGAGAATAGAGATACAATACACATCATCAAAACTTATGGCCTCATAAAACCGAGGTAGCTATTAAAGGCAATCCAAACATCGCCCTTCTAGATGAACCATATCAATGCAATAACTAGACATGCATCAATAGTTCATAGTCTTCTCACGCCTTTAATGTCAATGTTTTGTGTGATGGTAGTCTGTGAAAAACTTTTTCTTGTAAGTTTTTATTGTTAAACTGTAGATGACAACTTTATTAGCATAAAAGCCTCATAGAAAAGCATCGCTAACATTTGGAATAGAAACCTGGTTTTGTTCACTATTTCATTGGAACCGTGCTAGTAGCTTGAAACCGTAGATAACACATTTCTTAGCATAGAAGCCTCACAGAAAAGCACAACTAACACTTAAAACAGAACCAACTTTCATGCTCTGTTTCATCAGAACCGTTCAAAGAGGCCTCATAGAAAAGCACCGCTATCATTTAAAACGGAACCCCCTTTCATGCTCCGTTTCATCATAGAACCATTCAAAGAGGCCTCACTGGAAAGCACCGCTAACATTTAAAACAGAACCAACCATTCAAAGAGGCCTCACTGGAAAGCACCGCTAACATTTAAAACAGAACCTGATTTCGTGCTCTATTTTATTGGAACTATTCAACTAGCTTGAAACTACAAGCGACGCTTGCCTTACCATAGAAGCATAACATAAAGCAGTCCTAACATTGAAAACGGGACCCGATTTCGTGCACTATTTCATCAAACCCATTCAACTAGCTTGAATCTATGGATGACACTTTTCTTAGCACATAGACATTTATAGAAAAAGCCCAACAAACATTTAAAATTGAACTCGCTTTTTGTGTAGTGTTTCTTTAGAATACCGCTCCAATTCATTGCCTGCTTAAAGACAACTTCATCATACCATATCTAGGTACTTTGCACGTCTGTCATCTGATTACAAGTAATCATTTTCTTTAACATGATTCTCGCAAGAGCACCTCACCACAATGCACTATAGTATGCATGCATGTTCCTTCACAAATAGATACCCGTGTATCCTAAAACTTGACGTGCAAAGAAAACACTCAGCAATCTACTGAGATCAAATTCATAAACAATGTACTCCACGTGTCTAGATCAGAAACAAAGTTTCCTTTCATAGATTCGTCACAAATAGCACCCCTAACAACCAAAATCAACTCCCTTAATATAGCTACTCATGATGGTGAATATACATATTATTTTCACACGTCTACATGTGTCAATAACATGTGATTGTCATATCTCTAAGAACTCATCATGCAAAGTACTAGCACTACTTGTCTATTGTGTTCGTTTCTTTTCTTTCACCTCTAGGATCACAAACAATAGAGATACAAATCACATCATCAAAACTTATGGCCTCATAAAACCCATGTAGATTAAAGGAGATCCAAACCTCACCCTTCTAGATGAGCCATATCATTGCAATAACTGGACATGCATCAATAGTTCATAGTCTTCTCATGCCTTTAACGTCAATGTCTTGCGTGATGATGGTTTGTGAAAACCTTTTTCTTGTAATTTTTTATTTTGAAACCGTAGATGACAATTTTATTAGCGCAAAATGCCTTATAGAAAAGCAATGCTAACATTTGAAACAGAAACCTGGTTTTGTGCACTATTTCAGTGGAACCATTCAAGTAGCTTGAAACCGTAGATGACACATTTCTTCCATAGAAGCCTCACAGAAAAGCACAACTAGCACTTAAAACGGAACCTGCTTTCGTGCTCTGTTTCATCAGAACCGTTCAAAGAGGCCTCACAGAAAAGCACTGCTAACATTGCTAACATTTAAAACGGAACCGACTTTCGTGCTCGATTTCATCAGAACTATTCAAGGAGGCCTCACTGGAAAGCACCGCTGACAATTTAAAACAGAACCCGATTTCGTGCTCTGTTTCATTAGAATAGTTCAAAGATGCCTCACAGGAAAGCATCGCTAGCATTTAAAATGGAACCGACTTTCGTGCTCTGTTTCACCAGAACTATTCGAGGCCTCACTGGAAAGCACCGCTAATATTAAAACGAAACCCGATTTCATGCTCTGTTTTATTAGAACCGTTCAAAGATGCCTCACATAAAAGCATCGCTAACATTTAAAACAGAACTGGCTTTCGTGCTCTGTTCACCAGAACTATTATTCAAGGAGGCCTCACAGGAAAGCACCACTGACATTTAAAAAGAACCCGATTTCGTGCTCCGTTTTATTGTAACTATTCAACTAGCTTGAAATTGTAGTCGATGCTTTTCTTAGCGTAGAGGTATCACATAAAAGCATTCATAACATTGAAAACGGAACCGATTTCGTGCACTATATTTCATCAAATCCATTCAACTAGCTTGAATCTGTGGACGACGCTTTTCCTAGCACATAGACACAACAAAAATTGAAAACCAAGCCCGATTCCGTGTAGTGTTTCTTCATAATACCGCTCTAATTCAGTGCCTGCTTCTAAAAAGACAACTTCGTTATACCATATGTTTAGTTTCTCCTCTAAAATTTACTCCCTATCACATCAGATATTTAGACACATGCATAGAGTTTTAAATATAGACTTAAAAAAATAACTAATTGCACATATTGCGATTAATTTACGAGACGATTTTTTAAGCCTAATTAGTCTATGATTTGACAATATGGTGCTACAGTAAATATGTGTTAATGACGGATTAATTAGGCTTAATAAATTCGTCTTGCGGATTACTGAGGACTTCTGTAATTTATTTTATTATTACTATCGAACACTCCATGTAACACCCCAATATAATGCCGATGTGATATCCCTAAACTTTACTCCCTGGATTTAAATACCACCCTAGGTACTTTTGCACGTCTGTCATCCGATTACGAGTAATCATTTTCTTTCACATAATTCTCGCAAGAGCACCTCATCACAATGCACTATAGTAAGCATGCATGTTCCTTCACAAATCGATACCCGTGTATCTCTAAAACTCGACGTGCAAAGAGAACACTCCGGCAATCTACTGTGATCAAATTTCATAAACAAGCGTACTCCACGATATAGAGTTGGAATGCTATTTATCAGAAAATTTTATAATACAAGATTAAAAAGGAAGAAAGGGGAAAAGAAGAAGAAGAGAGAGAGAGAGAGCAATCACAAAACTCACCTTCCATTTGTCCGTTTCCTGCGTGAGCATGTGCTCGAAACGCCCCCACGTCACTCTCCCCTCTTTAAATAACCCCACTCCTGACTCCCCCTTCTTCCCCACCAGGCCACCACCACCACCACCACCGGCAGCAGCACCTCTGCCGTCCCCGCTTCCTCTCCCACTCGCCGTCACCGAAACCCCACCGCCACCAGCCAACCAGATCAAGGCGACGCACCCCGGGCGGCGCGATGCTGGAGGAGTCGATCCCCGCGCTGCTGAGCGCGGTCCACGGGTGGTTCACCCCCGCCGTGCTCTTCGTCGTCCTCAACATCGTCATCGGCACCATCGCGGTCACCTCCAAGGCCGCCGCCGCCTCGGCGACCGGCGGCAACGAGGAGGGCGTCGCCGCCGCTGCGGGCGCTGGATGGGAGCCGCAGCACCGGCGGCTGGCCCGCGTGCCGTCCATGGCGTTCGAGCGGCTGCGGTCGTTCAACGGCCGCTTCGCCGCGGCGGCGCCCGAGCCCGCCGAGGCCGGGGTGGTGGATCTCGATCTGGGGTACAAGCAGCACCCCGCGGCGGCGGAGACGGAGAAGGAGGGTCCCGTCGTCGTGGTCGAGCCGGAGCGCGAGCCTGAGCCCGAGCACGCGGCGCACATGGAGCGGAGCAGGTCGGAGACGGCGGCGGAGGCGGAGCTGCCGCGGCTCCCGGTGCGCCTGCACAAGTCGGCCAGCGACAAGTCGGCGTTCGCGCACTTCGGCGCCGAGGAGGTGGAGGAGACCGTGCGCGCGGTTGAGGCGCGGCGCCCGGCCACGACGAGGGAGACCAGCCGCGGCAGGCGGCGGTTCCCCGTGGTGGAGCCGGAGCCGGCGTCCGAGTCGTCGGAGTCCGAGTCCGAGTCCGAGTCCGAGTTCGATTCGGAGGAGGAGGGCATCAGCGGCGGCGAGGTGGACGCGCGCGCGGACGACTTCATCAACCGGTTCCGCCACCAGCTGAAGCTGCAGCGCATCGACTCCTTCATCCGCCACAGGGAGACGGTCCGCCGCGGCTTGGCCCAGGCGGCGGCCCGGGGCGTCTAGTCTCGTGCCAGCGGAGGGAGCGAGATGCTGCAAGAGTCCGTGAAGAGAGGTAGAAATGGATGAAGAGAAGATGCAGAGAAGGCATGCTGGGGGATCGGGAGGGAAGGAGATGGTAATTCCTGCCCGTCTGCTTTGTTTTTTTCTTCCGGTTTGCTGTTTCCTGGTGCGAGCATGTCGTAGCTCCTCCATGCGCTTTTTTGGATACAAGAACCTTGCGCAATGTGGCAATGCCATCGCATCGCATCATATAAGTTCATAATATGCGAATCGATAAAAGGAAACCCGTAGCTGTAAATTATGGCTCTGTTTGCTACCATTTCTGCTCCATGTTCTTTACTGTTTTTCTTTTCTTTTCTTTCCTTTTTTTTTTGATTGAGACTATATGCTCATGCTTGATAGTAACGATGCCATGATCACAGTCACAGGCAGCGATTCTCTTATCTTTAACGTCTGCTCTGTTTGGAACAGAGGAATGAATGCCGCAGCGAATGTTGGTGCTCTGCTCTTAGCAACACGAACAATGCGTAGTAGCTGGAACAATCCCGCAAATCCGCAATGCTGATTAACCCTGTATTTCTCTGCGAACGGCACTGTTCGATTGCGCTGGAGCGCCACTGGCGATTAAGATAAGACACGGGGCGATTACCGTTACTCCCTCCGTCCCCTAAAGTTTACTGCGTGTCGACTCAGATATATAGAAAATACGTGTAATATTTCTATCTTTAAATAAATTTATTAAAAAACTAGATTTAAATATCTATATGTGATACTGATGATGTATTATAAATATTAATAATTTTTAATATATATTTAGTTAAAATTATTTTTCGAAAAACGAAAACGAGAGACGTTTAGGGCGGAGGGAGTACGCAGTAGTCAGCAGGCATGAGCATCAGAGCACAAGCTGATCCCTTTGAGATTCCTCTAGAAACCTGTGTGAGGCGCATGGAGTACGGACAAGCGCCGAGGCCGAGCATCGAATCGTCGATCGCGGGAGCTCTCCAGTTTATTACCGCGGCGGGCACGCGCTGGCATCTGGAGCCACGTTGTGTTCGGTCGCTCCGCCCCCCGCCCCCCCTGTCTCTTTAATCGCCGTCGCCTCGGCGCTCTCACATGCATGCCCACCGGCCGCGCCGCACGGCCGCATTGCTCTCGCTGCTGGTGACTGCTGAGTGGTGACACGGCACCACCTGCTCTGCCCCTGCCCGCTCGGTTACGCCCGCCCGTGGCCCGGATAATAATCTGCCATCCTTGCCACCACCTCATGCTCGACCTCCACGTTTGGTGCTGCTCGGCGCACCATTGTATTGCCATCGGTTGTGTGGCGACCCTTGCCGTGGGAGTGGTTGCCGGCGGACACGCTCGGCGGTGAGCACGGCGACGGCGCCGTCTCGAGCAGAGGAACACGGGAAGGGAAGAGAGGTCTAAAAAATTTAGTTTGTTATTTTCGCTGATCACCCGATCACCCTCACAGCGAGTCTTAAGGTTCAAGAATTCGTGGGCCTTGGCCCGATACAACCTTGCGGCCCACGTGCCGTCTTACAGGCCCTTTCAAGTGAAAGCTCAAATTAACTAACGGTAACTATAAGCAGTCTGTGACATCCCCTCCCCCTTAAGCAGTATCGTGTCCTCGCGATGTAGACGGAACAAAAGTAGCCGTAGCCGATGCAGACAGAGCTTGGAGCAGCGAAGCCAGCGGCTCCCATTGCGCCCAGTGTGTTGGGCAGGACTGCCGCTGCACCAGAGCTTCAGACACCACGTGTCGTCCGACCAGTTGAAGTCTGGTACCCAACACTCGAGCTGGAGGCAAACTAATAAAAAGAGTCAGCAGATTAAGTTCATCAACTGCCTTTTTCAGTTGAGACACATGAATGACGGGGTGAATTTGGCTTGAAGCCGGGAGCTGTAATCTGTATGCCACCTGACCGATTTTATGGAGAATGAGGTAAGGCCCAAAGTATTTGAAGCTCAACTTCTGACTAGCTCTACGTTGCACAGACTGTTGCACATAAGGCTGAAGCTTGACATACACCCAGTCTCCCACTTGGAATTGCCGTTCCTGACCGTTCTTATCAGCCTGATTTTTCATGCGGTGTTGAGCACGCTGCAAGTTCTGCTGGATATGATCAAGCATAGACTGACGCTCATGCAACCAATTATCCAGGTCATGTACAGTGCACACATCCGAGATACTGATGCCAAAATGCCGAGGTTTGTGTCCATACAAAGCTTGAAATGGTGTTAGGCCGTGAGCAGAATGATAGGTTGAGTTGTACCAAAATTTAGCCAGTGGTATCCACTGAGCCCATTTGGTGGGACAAGACTGAACCATGCACCGTAGGTATGTTTCTAAGCATTGGTTAAGACGCTCAGTTTGACCATCGGTTTGAGGGTGGTAGGCTAAGCTCATGTTTAAGGTTGTATCTGTGAGCTTAAATAACTCTTGCCAAAAGGAGCTAGTGAAGACTCGGTCTCTATCAGATATAATTACAGTGGGCATGCCATGAAGTTTATAAATGTTGGCAAGAAATGCTTGAGCCACAGTGATAGCAGTATATGGATGAGATAAACAAATGAAGTGTGCATACTTGGTAAGCTTGTCAATGACAACTAAGATGGTGTCATAGGTTTTGGATTTGGGCAGCCCTTCTATAAAATCCATGCTAATGGTGTGCCATGCAAATTGTGGTATGGGTAAAGGTTGCAAAAGACCTGGAAGCTTATTGTGTTCAGTTTTGGCCTGAGCACATACCTGACATGCTGCAATGTAATCATGAACATCTTACTTCATGTGAGGCCAAGCAAATAGAGATTTGACCTTTTGATATGTTGCAGTGATGCCACTGTGGCCACCTAACCCACTGGAGTGCAGAGCTAGCAGAATGGCTTGTTGAGCTTCCTTGTGATTACCTAGCCAAATCCTATTCTTGTATCTGATGACTCCATCTTGTAAGGAGAACCCTTTTTCATTAGATCCAGTTAGAGCTAACTTAGCCAACAACTGCTTACTGTGTGCATCCTGGTCGTAGCCCTCAACTATAATTTCCAGACCTTGGTGTGATTGTGGATGCAGCCAACAACGTAGGTGAGTCAGGTTGTCTAGATAGGGCGTCGGCAGCTTGATTTTCCACCCTTTTTTGTGAATGATCTTGTACTGTAGTCCAAGCAGCTTGATGAAAGCTTTGTGCTGCATGCCTTCTAGTAACTTCTGATCACCCAAATGCACCAGACTGTGATGATCTGTGGCAATGGTGAATTCCCTGTGTTGCAGATATGACTTCCACTTGGTGACAGCCAAAATTAGGGCCACGCACTCTTTCTCATAGGTAGACATGGCCGGAGCCTTGGGTCCCAGAGACTTACTGATGTAGGCAATAGGATGATGGTTCTGTGAAAGTACTGCCCCAATGCCATTTGCTGAAGCATCTGTCTCAATATGGAAACCTTTGATGAAGTCTGGTAGAGCCAACACAGGTCCTGACACAAGAGCATGTTTCAATGTATCCAAACATAGTTGGTGCTGTGGTGTCCAGTGAAACAGAGAATTTTTCTTCAGCAAATCTGTCAAAGGTCTACTGATGGTACCATACCCTTTGATGAATTTCCTATAGTAACCTGATAGGCCCAAGAAACTTCTCAACTGTTTGGCATCAACTGGAACTGGCCAGTTGCCAATAGCTTCAGTTTTCTTTGGGTCAGTTGAAACACCTTTCTCATTGATGATGTGTCCAAGATACTCCAAAGATTGCTGAGCAAAGGAACACTTAGACATCTTCAAATATAGCTGGTGTTGGTGAAGAATGTTAAATACTTGGGTCAGGTGTTCCAGATGTTCACTGAGTGTCCTCCTATAAATGAGAATGTCATCAACAAATACTAGAACACACTTTCTGAGCAGGGGCTGAAAGATGGTGTCGGGTTCATAAACCCGGGGTCCCTAATGGACCTGCTTCCCAGCAAAAGCTTGGCCCGGCAGACGGCATTACGAACGACGCACAACTCCTGGGCCGGCCTAGATACCTAACGACAGGCCGGAAGAGCGATCCAGTCTCCGACCGGAAGGCCTGGCCAAGGAGGGGACAACGCTCGCTTCTAACTCCGACCCGCTTCTCCGACCGGAAGGCCTAGCCAAGGAGAGAACGATGCTTGCTTCCGACTCCGACCCGCTTCTCCGACCGGAGGGCCTGGCCAAGGAGGGGACACGCTCGCTTCCGACTCCGACCCGCTTCTCCGACTGGAAGGCCTGGCCAAGGAGGGGACGACGCTCGCTTCCGACTCCGACCCACTTCTCCGACCGAGAATACACCGAACCTCTGCTTATGGCTCTTCTCCGACAAGTGCGGTCGGAGCCAACTGGGAACGACCGGCCGGGGACGCCCGCTCGGTGAGGACCCAAGAAATCAGGCGGAGCAGATAAGATAAGGCGCTAAAGTCAACCGCAATACTGAGGACCGTACCATGCACACCTGCAGGACAGCACTGTTAGGCCATGCCAGAAGGGTACTTTGCAGCCTTCCAGACATGTCAGAACACAAACAGTGTTGTAGGCGCTGACATTTGTCCTACAGTATGGTAGGCGCCGACATTTGCCATACCAGAAGAACACGATGGAGCCTGCCGTATGCATCTGGGCATCAACAGTATTGTGGGCGCCGACAAACTGTCTTGTACCCGACGGTATGGTCAACAAGACTAGGGCACTCTCTCTCTCTCTTAAACTTGTAAGGCTATCCCCTTCATCTATAGAAGGGGATGCGCTCTCTCTCAACAAGAACGGATTATTTCGACTCTCTCTCTGCTAGCTTTAGACATTCTGAGCACTCGAACAGCTTCATGGCTCTAGAACTCTAAAGCTACACAGAGCATACGGTCCAATACTTAGCGCACATAGGAGCTCCCGTCACTCCTGGCCCTTCGGTCTAGAGTTCGACCGGACCTCTAACACCCCTATCTTATTCCCACTCGTTTGTAACCCCACAGCAAACTTTGAGCACCTGGACTCAGGAATAAAGTCACCGACTGACTCAAACTAGACGTAAGGCACGTTGCCTGAACCAGTATAAACCCTGTGTCATTGAGTGCTAGGCCACATCCGATCACAACGTACGGCAAAACGACAAATATTTACTAGTTGGTCACTTTTCGTACTGACAGTTGGCGCCGTCCGTGGGGAGGATGCCGTCCGTTCATGCTTTTTGTCATCGGATGGCCCACCCTTCCGCAATCTTTGTCATGACAGGCTCAAGCGATTCGACTTGCTTCGGCTCGCTGGAGTTTCCCACACTCCCACCTGTTGGGATGTGAGTTCCTCCCGTCTTCGAGCCATCCCAGACCTTCCTCTTTGGAAGCCTGGACTTCATCGCCGACCGGCACTTGTCCCTCCGATGGGCGCCGGGACACCCGACGACCTCAACGATGAGACACCTGCGCTCCGCTCTGAGCCCACGCTGGGCTCAAACCCCACTGAGTAACGTACATATTGTTCTTTACTCGCTATTCAATATCTTTTGCCGACTCTCCAGAGGGACCCCGTTGTCCCCACCACAACCGGCATTCAACCGGTTTCTGTCGACGAAATATGGTCGGCAGTCTACCTAGGGGTATGCCCAAGGTAGTAGATTATCGGCAGACAGGTGCGCAAGCTACGAACAAGATGATGACGCAAGACAGACACGAGGTTTTATCCAGGTTCGGCCACCGTGAGGGCGTAATACCTACGTCCTGTGTCTGATTGTATTGCTGTATGTCAATGAGATTGTTTTTTAGAGGGGTCCCTTGCCCGCCTTATATAGTCTGGGGGGCAGGGTTACAGATCTGGAAACTAATCCTAACCGATTACAATTGCCATAAGTGGCCAGATAAGGATTCCTATTCTAACCGACCAGGATCTTGCTTGATCTCTAAGTCTACCTTGATTCCTTGCGCGGAACTCCGAGCAGATCGGCTGGGCCGCGCGTCGTCTTCTGGTGGACCGAACCCCCTGGACCGGGCCGGCCCAAACCTAGCCGTAAGGGTATAGGGGTTAATACCCCCACAACTAGTCCCCGAGCACCATGTATTATGTTGCGACACGTCGTTTGATCTTCTTCGGCTAATGCAATCTGTCTTCATGTCATCTCCAACTGGTTGAAACATTGACCAAGCAAATGCACCAGTAATCTGATCAGCATAGAGAGTAGTAGACCACATTTATAGCCGAAGATTCTGGCTGTCCGAAGAATGCATGGTGCTCTAAAGAAAAAAAAAGATTTCTTTCCTGATCAAGTGTGCCCACTTGTATTTCTGAAAAGAAATGTAAGTGACCCTTTTACAGGAGTAGTTATGGCCAACAATCAGAGCACAGGGGTCGATAAAATAAGCACATTCACCGCAAGATGAAGTGTGCCCACTTAGTCCCCGAGCCTGGTAGTAGGTGACGTAGGCACATGGTGCCAGGGTCTAAAAAAGAATTTCCAGTTAAGTTGAGAATCCAATCATCGTACAGGCGATACGAGCTGCACCGACAGGTGCATCGTACCAATGTAGTCCTCGAGCTTGCTGGAAGGCGAGGTATCAACCTTGTAGCAAGGTCTAAGTAAGAAAAAAATAAATGCCTCTCAACTGTATGTGAGTACAAATCACATGTAGCCGAGGAGAGCAGTCCCCAAACAATGGTCGGAGAGTGATCGGAGCAGTCCCCGAGCGCAGCATGGAGAAAACGACGAATCCCCGAGAATAACCGTAGTCGGGACAATCCCCGAGCACGAGGATGGTCGAGACAGTCCTGAGCACGAGAGTGGTCGGAACAGTCCCCGAGCACGAGGGTGGTCGAGACAGTCCCGAGCATGATGGTGGTCAGGACAGTCTCCGAGCACGAAGGTGCCCAGGAAGTTCCCGAGCACAAGAAATGTGACAAAAAACCATATGCCACTATTACTATTATTCTATGAATTTATTTATTTATTTGTTCTGACAAGTCCGGTCTGACACGTCTGGTCAAAAAAGTGGACGGGTATAGCACGTCATACTGCCTTTTTGTCTTGTCAAGCGAACAGTTGCATGGCACCTATCAGTAGGTGCGTCAGCGTGGGCCCTCCCACACTGGCAACAAAGAGGCGAATTTATTGGCGTAGTTCTCGGGGCTGAGTAATACTGCAAATGTGAAAAACAGCCATCTGCGGCGCGTGCGCACGTCCCCCAAGAATCCCGGGCAGACGAAACGGCATAACTCTTGGATTAAATACAGCATATGATAGGTCAGTTACTATTTACTGAACCCCATTGCCATTCGCAACCGCAGCTTCCGTCTTCCTCTCGTCGACTGACCCTAACAGATCCGAAATCGCCACCAACCAACCCGCCGCCGCTTCGACTGCCGCCCCTGCTAATCCCCCACTGCTGTTGAAGATCAGCACACTCCCCATTCACCAGCAAGGCCAAAGTCAGAGGCGGAAAACAAAAGGAGATGGCGAAAAGTGATGTGCAGAAGAAAATAGGGGTCATGGCGAAGGAATGGTGGAAGTTGAAAAGCAACGAGCAGACCATTGAAGACCTCGTCACCATGGGGGTACTCCACAATAAGGAGCTCGCAGGATGGCATGCACCAGAGGGCGAGAGGTACCCCAATCCACAACCAGGTGAGATCGTGGTGTTCGAGGATTTCTTTAAACGAGGATTTGGAGTTCCGACGCATCCATTTCTTCAGGGGCTCTGTCTTTACTATGAGATTGGGATTTGCAATCTACATCCCAACTCGATTCTCCTTGTCGCCACTTTTATTCATCTGTGCGAAGCATATGGCGGCTTCCAGCCCCATTTCGATTTTTTCCGCCATCTTTTTTGTCTGCGGAAGAAAGGAAGCGATGGTTCGAAGATAGCCGGTGGTGTGTACCTCAACCTCCGTGACGGCATGAAAGCCCAGTACCTGCACTGCCCATGGAACACGTCGCTCGATGACTGGTACAAAAAATGGTTCTACATCCGCGAAGAGCCGAACACGATCACGCTATGCAACGCGGGCTACATTCCGGAGAAGAAGATGAGCTGGTCGAAGAAACCCGAGCACCTAGGATAGATCCTAGAAATATTTGGAATGATCTCGTGGAAAAAACTGGATGGTCCGAGCGTAGTTGGGAGTTTCATCAGCCGACGGGTCCAGCCCTGCTAGAGGAGGGTTCATCTTGGCTATGAGTATCAAGGGAGCGCAGACCCGACGAGGATGAGGCAGATGGCGCTTGACAAAATCAAAGTCAAAGCTAGAATTGGCGAGCTATTTAACTTAGCCGATCCAAATTATGCCAGATTGGGCGACATCGAGCATGCTTTCAAGCTTGCCCGACCTCCCCCAAAGGTAACTTGTCTTGCCGCGTACCCGTAGTCTTATATTGTGATAGGGTAAGTGAAGACTTACTGTGTTCACCCCCTTTTGTTACCCAGGTTAATGGCCGGGATAGAGTGACAGTGTTTGTGTCGCCACCCCCTGGAGTAGAGTGGCCACAAGGAGCTGATCCCCCCCACCCAGACCAGCATCGAGATCGAGGATGAGGACGTCGACTGGGCGGTGCTCGGAGCTGGAGAGGAGGCAGCGGCCAAAGCTGCTAGTAAGCGACTGGCTGCCCCCAAACAGTCGAAGAAGAGGTCAGTAACCACCCTGCTCACTGGAAGAGCGCTAAATATCAATGAGCCCGAGGAGGACCCAGAGGAGAACCCAGCCAGCAAGTGTCGGCAGGTGATTTTTTCTTGGCCGGACGATAACGCAGAGGAGAGAGAAGACGCAGACACCTTTCAACTTGT